TAACTTACTGGTGCCAATCTGCCCCTGGCTTTCCTTTTCTGGCAAATGCATTGGAATGCAATGAATAACAGTGATGATGTTATTTGTGAGAAATCTAGTCTTTGGAATTAGAGTAATTTATGAAAATAAGAAGTCATTCACAGACATCTGTATGATTAGTAACAAATTACATGCTTCCCTTCACTTATTAGACCTACTCCTGAGCACGGGGGGAGAGCTAAGAAGTGCCGCCTCAACCACATTTATTTAATTTAAGAAAGCACTTTGGCTTTTCTCCTGGACCTCAGTTTCTTCATATTTAAAATAAGAGATTTGGACTAATAGGTTACTGAAGTGCTATAATCGTGTGGAAGAAAATAACTTTCCTAATCATCTGTAAAACAATCATGATGTGAGAGCATTGCTGTATATTTAATGTCCTTGATTTGCATTCAGTTGTTTCCATCCACCTGTCCATCTATCTGTCCATCCACCAACCTTCCTTGCTTCCTTCTGTCCTTCCATCCTTCCTTCCTTTCATCTTCTCTTTATTCATCCATAGATTAATATATTTAACATTTGTTGACTATATGCTATATACTAGGCATTGCAGATATAATATTGAAAACAGACATGGACCCACCTTCCAGAGAAGGAAAGTGTCATCCACCATTGTTTTTTTTTTTTTTTTTTTTTGATACTGGGGATTGAACTCATGGCCACGCACATGCCAGGCAGACACTTGTGCCAGTGAGCTAAATCCCCAGCCCTCATCCACCATATTGATGGCCACTATGACCAGTGCTAGGTGGGCCTGTGAAAGGAAATCTGACCTAGGAATCAAGGCCAAGAAGGGGCTTCATGGAGAAGTGGTACCTGAGATCTAGGGAGCAGGGAAGCTCCGGGCTCCACCCAGATGCAGACCTGGTGAGCTCTGGGCAGGATAGGCAGGAGGGTTAGGCTGTTCCACAGCTGATAGAAAATGAAACTAGCAGAGACTTTTTCCATGGGGAAGGTGACAGGCACACTTTGGACTCTAAGCCATTGAGTCCAGAGAACAGAATGAAGAGGTCCAGAGTGGAAGGGAAAGGGGGCAGCTGTACCTGTCCAGATGAGAGCTGGCAGAGGCAGCAAGCTCTGAGATAGGCTCTGGAGCCAGGCAGTGCCACAGGCCTTGATTGTGCTTTGCATCAACAGCTCTTCCTCTCCATTCTGATCTGGAACCTCCCCTGGAACCCTTTTTCCTGTGTGCAGGGGCAAGGGTAGGCATCCCTTCTGCCAGGCCACAGTGCAGATTCAACGCCATCATAACTGAAAGTGTGTAGCATAGGCATGGCCTTGGTGATGCTCAGAACATGACAACTTCACCATAGCGATTCTGTCTTAGAGTTCTGCTGGTCTCTTTAAAGCCCAGTGTTTGCCAGGCCATGTTTGTGTTTTCCGCCTCCTTCCTTTCATTCTCACCCCAATGCTCCTGTGTTTCCAGAGCTAGCATATAGGAGTCCATCTGACTGTCACTGTCTTCACCTGGGCAGTGGAGAGGGACTCTTCTGTCCTGCCAGGGTCTGTCTGCTGAACAAATCACCCCTCCTCCGGGGCCAACGCCAGGCTATCAGTTCTTAAGGGTCTATATCAGGACACTACAGTCCCTTTGCCCTCCCTGACCCAACCATGAGATTGGGCTGAAAGGCTTCTGTTAAGCCTACTTGGAACCAGCCAGCCCACGCCCCACCAAAACAACCCCTTGGGGATTCTGTTTGCAGCCTTAACCCACACATTTTGACTCAGAAGCATAAAAGGACATTATGTCAGCTTAATTAATGCACAACTCTCAACAGACCAGTTCTTACAATTTGCCCTGCCCTTAGGCAAATCTGCTCCTAGTGAGCAGCTTTAATCTGGCTTTAGAAATTGCTTCTGGTAGCGAATCAGAGATGGCTGATGCTCAGCTCATGCTAAATAAACCAGCCAATGTCTAGGCTCTTGTTTAGGGGATATTGCCCTATAGCTCAAATTCAGTGGAAAATTCATCTAGATATTCTGTGATAAGAATGCACAGATTTCCAAAAATGCGTATAGAGTGAACTTATCATCTTGTCCCTCTGGTAATGACTACAGTCAGCCTGAAGGGAAGCCCTGTACTCTTCCCCCAGAGGCATGAACAGGAAGTGGCTTTGTTTATTTCATCTCCACTGTGATAAAAGCACCCTACTTACAGGATGTAGAGTGACCTCATATTTGGAGGTGATGAACTTGGAAGAGGCTGGAATGGGGCCACAGAGAGCCTCCTCCTGTCTTGGACATTTCTTATTCTTGGAGAAACATGGCAGAGTGAATAACAAGATGCCCAGGTTGATATCCAAGCTGTTCCTCTGCGTCCCCATGTTCTCGTTTGCAGATGGCAGAAGGAATACGTCCTGAGCCCAGCTGTCAGCAGGGTTAATGAGGTGCCCCTCGCCAAATACTGATTATTTACTTTTATACATTATTATTTCCCCAATTTCTTGCTGGAAAATTTTTAATTAATTAAGTTTATTAGTACATTTTCATATATATAATGATCACATTTATCATAAGGAATTTGTACCTGTAGACGATAGAATCTTTTTTTTTTTTGTCTTTTTCGTGTTTATCGGTACCAGGGATCAAACTGACGACCACACACTTGCAAGGCAGGCACTTATGCCACTGAACTAAATCCCCAGCCCCAAGATGATAGAATCTTGATTGTTCTTTTTTTCCCCTCCCCATTCCCCAACTCTTCCCCACCTATTTACAAAAGCTTTGTTTCCATTTTTCCCTTCTTTTTTCATTGTTTTTCTTTTCTCTTCCTTTCCCTTCCTCCCTAGTTCCCTTTCCTATTTGAACATTTTCTTCCTATTTCAAAATATCTGTAATACATTTTGGTCCTTATTTACACGTTTGGTTTCTCACACCAGAGAAACAGTATGGTATCTACATGTGTGTCTGATTTATTTCACTTCAGCATATGGCCTCAAGGTGCATCCACTTACCTAGAAATGTATCAAGTTTATCCTTCCTGAATGCTTAGCAGTATTCCATTTTATTAAAAACCACATCTTCTGGGGCTGGGGATTTAGCTCAGCGGCATAAGTGCCTGCCTTGCAAGCAGGCAGTCTTGAGTTCAATCCCCGGTACCGATAAAAAGGAAAAAGACCAAAAAAAAAAAAAAAAAAAACCCAAAAAAACCGCCACATCTTCTGTATCCATTCATCAACTGATGAGCATCTTTATTTCCAAGATTTTGCTATTACAAACTGTGGTGCTGTAAACAAGAGTGTGCATGTATCACTGTGGTAGGATGCTTTTAAATCTTTTGAGAAGACACCAAATTTTGAAACCTCAAAAATGTTGAATGGATGAAGCAGGAGATGCTCATGTGACAATTTTCTTAGTCTTCTCAGGCTTTCACAACATAACACCACAGCCTCATGGCATAAATAATAGACATGTATGTTTTCAGTGTCCTGGAGGCTCAAGTCCAGGTCAGGGTACCAGCTGGGCTCGTTTCTGGTAAGGTCTCTCTCTATGGCTTTAGGGTAACACTTGCTTGGTGTGTCCTCACGTGGGCTCCCTCTGTGGATACACACGTCTGCTATCTCTTTCTCTTCCCAAAAGGGCTCTCATCCTTTTGGACCAGGCCCCCCTACCCTGCTTTGAACTTTGCTTCTAGGGGCCCTAGGTTCAAAGGCAGTCTCATGGGGAGTGAGGTTGTCAGCACAGGGGTGGAGCGAGGCAAACCGTTTTGTCCATAGCACACATTTTAAAGTGTCCACAAGAATGCAGTTCACCTTCCCACTCTCTACTTCCCTCGTGTATTAGGCAGGTATATTCCTTGCATGGAAAGCTGGAATTTGGTAGTGGACATGGAGGATGGAGTGCTTATCTCTGGCCACATCCAGAACACTGTGAGACTAACACATGTGAATACGTGTGTGACAGCTCTGAAGAGATTCCATGAACTTCCTACTCTGACTTTAAGGAAAATAGTAAGAGCCTTAGAAAACCACACTTCTGTTAAGTTTGCCTAGAGTAGTTTCTCCTGACACAGAAAATATGTAATTCTCAGGAGCATATAGATCACAGCTATGTAAAAATAACAAATATTGTAGCTCCAAAATATGTTCCTAAAAAAGAAAAATCACTAGAATAGTGAAAAAGGCATGGACAAAGGGTGTGTCTTTTCTTGTTTTTTCCATATTTCCAAATTTTGTATATTAGCCATTACATTATTTTTAACTATGCTAAATTAAAACTATATAGACTAGTGCGACACAGTCAAATATGGCATGTGATAAACTATTTTACAATAACCAGAGTGTATTTTTATAGCAACTCCGTAATTCTAAGCCAAATTTCTCTATTCTAGTTTTTGTTTCATACATGTTACCCAGCTGGGTGTGTTCGAGTTAAGACAAGTATGAAGCTATTTCAGCAGAAATTTTACACAAAGTACGACTGTGTCTTAGATTGTGCCTTTCACTATAGCACCTGCTAAACGTGCAGAATCCAGTTAACTCTATTCAAGAATAGCTCTGTTTTTCAAAGCACAGCTTTGCCAACTTGTGCTTTTCCCCCCAAACATTCCCCAGTAGTGCTCAGGACCTCTTTGTAATCTATACAGAGCTAGTTTAACCTTCGTTCCTTTTATAGTTTCCTCTTATTAAAAACTTCCTGGGTTTCCTGCATTTCAGACTATTATGAATGAATTTCCATATTCCCTATTCACAGCTCACTAGCATGGAAATCCCCACACTGAGGATTTGTGACTCTTTGTATTGACTTTTGGGGAAAATGAGGGCATGTGTTACGGCAAAGGGAGGGAGGAGCTGCGGGCTCCTCACAGAGTACAATGAACTGCATGGGTGCTGGGGTGTTTGTGATAGAGTCTCTGGGCAGCCTTTTGTAGGGGAAGGATCAGGACTAGTCTGCCTGCAGTGTGGCTCTGTCTTGGAATCCATGAGAATCAATGAAACATTAAACGTTTTCATTTTTGGCAGTGTTGGGCTTGGAAGCTCCTGTTCCACTTCTGAGACTGCTGCCAGCCCAGACCCGTGCATCGTGTCCTCAGAGGTGACAGAGCCAAGGAAACACCCGCAGGAAGCCAGCGGTCCAGAAGGATCTCCACTGTCTAGCCTAACACCGCCCCAGGAGCAGCAGTGTCCCTTGACCTCCATGCCCTTCACTGAGTGCCCTCCGGAAGGTTGCTTAGAAGGCCCAGCAGCAGCACCTGAAGATGCTGTCACCCAGCACACAAGGAGGGAGCCTTCTCCAAGTGACCCAGGGGACTCCATGGCATTTACCTCTGAAGGGGACAGTATGGCTGCCATAGTCTCAAGTGCTGGGGGAGACAAAGAGATGAAGACAGAGGAACAAACTTTTACCTCCGACAGTACCACTGACCACTTGCCAGGAATTTCACCAGTACCTCCAGCAGAGCCAAGGAAGGAGCTTCTATGTGCAGAGGGCTGCTTAGAGTCTCAGGGGAAAGAAGGTGTAAGTGACTGTTCCCCTGCAGAATCCAGGCTCAGTGTGGCTTCTTCCCATCCAGGCAAGGAGAGCTCAGCTGGCCAAGTGGAATATCCTCTAGAACCTGAGACCATGGTCCCACAAGATTCAACTCCAAGAACAGTGGACAGAGAAAGAGGCCAAGTACAGGTGTCACCTCAGCATTTAGCCAATGACTTGGAATTCCTTAGTTCCTGCCATTCCCCTGGGAGCAATTCAGGGGCTACCCATGAAGCTGAAGCTACTGCTTCCCAGGAAAGTTGCCAGCAGCAAATGAAGGCACATCTGCTCCACACAGAACTGTCCTTGGATCCACTGAGTTCTGCATTAGTGCGAGGGAAGGAAACTCTGGATGCTGGTGATGCTCACAGCCACTTGCAGATAGGGACGAAAGGTGTAGAGTCCCATCAAGTTATTGATGTAGCAACAGACATCCAGGAAGATGGGAGTTCACTTGGGAGCCCCAAGCCCATTCCACTTACCCCAACTGAAGAAACACACCCAGCTTCAAGCTCCACATCATCCCCACCCACTGGGATTCTTGCTGCCACAGAAGGAAACAGTTTGTTGGCCAGGGACATGGCTTCCAAAACTGAAATGCCCGTTTCTGTAGGTTTGGTCAAAGAGCTGGTGGATGAAAAGTTGGCAAGACTGGAAAACTGGTCATCAGATCTTGGAAAAGAGCAAGAGCATTCAGAAGCAAGTCCTGGAGAGGTTTCTGCCTCATTGCCCCAGGAGGGAGCAGAGCTCTGGAACTGGGAGCAAAGCCATGCAATGCCCCGAGAGGTAATATTGTCCCCTCCTCCTCCTCCTGCAGAGGCTTCAAGGAAAAGTATGGAGAGCTCAATAGGGTCAGAGGAGGGAACCAAGGGCCCTGAGGATGCTGGAAATCCAGTTGTAGCTAAAGAGAAAGGCCATGGAGACAACTCTGCAGGACTAGAAGGACAGCCTGGAAACCAGAGGGGAGAAGAGTCTCAAACTTTCCAGTGCAAGCCTTATGGGAAGGTGGTCAAAGATGGGGTCTTAAAGCCAAGCGATGATTCAGAGAACACAATGTTTTCCAACTCAGATTCAGCACAACCACCCAGAGAGGGAGACACAGGACACACGGACTCTGGGTCAACGGAGACAGCATGGCAAGTGGCAGCTGAAATCCATGTGGCTGGTGCAGATATCTCGGCTCACAAACCCCACAAGGAGGATCCTGTCCTGACCGCAGTACCAGGGGATACTGGCAAGTATGTTGCTGTTCCGGAAAAGCCAGGATTACTGACCAAATGTCTGGACATGCTTCAAGATAGGGAAGGACTGGGAAAAACAGAGCATCCTTCTGCTTTACAATCTGAAAAATCAGATTTCCTGTCAAATTTTGCCAGAGAGGTTGTAACTAAAGCTCAGGAGGTGGAGCACACTTTGGAAAAAAGGATGACAGTCTGCCCATGCCCACAGAAGCCCTGCAGCTGCAACACTGAGGGCTTGTTGACATCCCCAGGTCAACCTTGTGGGCCAGGGCAAGATGCAGCTGGACAGGAAGTTCCTGCTGGTATGCCACCTCCCCCCGACGGGGAGACTGCAGCAACAGACTGCATGTTCACTACTCTCAGCCTGACTCAAGACTGTCAGGGAAACTCATCCTGCCCAGGGGACAGCCAAACAAAAGGAGCTGCATCAGAGTGTCCCCCACTGCCTTCTGAAAACCATCTCCAGCCATCCCAATTAGACTCAGAAGCATCCGTATTCGATATTCTCAGGGAGAAGACCCAGCCACTAACAAATGGGGAAGAGGCTGACTCAGGTGATTCAGAGTTTCAGAACCAGGGTGCAGAGTCTTCCCAAATCCACATACCTGTGGAGCCTCAGCCGGATGTGCCCCTACCCACTCCCAGAGGATGGGAACAAGTTACTGGGTCAGAACTTCAAAGCCAGCTCCCCAAAGGCATTCAGTCTGCTGCTCCAAGTTCATCTCCCAAGGACACAGTTCTGGAGAGTTCTCCACTAGTGGAGTCAGAATTGTCAACCCCAATAGGACAGACGTTGCCTGCACTAGGGAAGTCTGAGCAAGAGGCCATAGGCTGTGGTGGCCAGCAGCCTCCTCCTGCAGATGCCTTAAAAGACTCTTCTCTTGCAGGGGACTTGGGAGGAAAGGAAAGTTGCTGTGCTGGGCAGGGACCAAACAAGTCCCAACAAGAGCTGGTTGGTGTTTTGAAAGCAGGCAGCCAGCATGAAGAAGCATGTTGCAAGGATGCAGGACTTTCTGAAGCAGCTGACGCCTGGGCCCTGCCGCAGGGTTTGGGTAAGACAGAGACGGCAAGTAGAGACACAGTGGAGGCCCCGCCTTGTCCACCTGACTCAGTAGATCTCCTGGATGCAGCTCATTGCCTGCTGGTCACAATACCTGCCAGTGCCAGAGTCACACCCACCCAGGATGCCCCAGAGAATCAGGCATACAATAAAAGCCAGGAAGACAGGCAGGAACCAGCGCCGGCCCCACAGCAGGGAACGGAGTGCCCAGCCATTATGGATACAGAGGCCCAAAAACTTCTTGGAAGTTTCCCATCACCTGAGAAGCAAAGTGAAGATACAGTTGCTGAGAGTGGTGCAAATGCCAGTGAAAGAGACCCCAGGATGCCACAGGTTCCCCAAGAACCAGAAGTCACTCAGAGCGGGGGCTTGTCTCTGACCGAGTGCTGCTTTACATCTGAGAATGAAGACTCTACCTTGGCCCTGGGTGAGCCTTGCCATGTTGAGCAGCTTGTGGCCAGCGGCCAGAGTGCCTTGCTCTCAGTCAGAGAACTGGGTGGTGTACTGAGGAACACTGCGGGTATTTCTGCCTGCCAGACTGTCCCTAACCCAAAGAGGTGTCTGCTATCTGGGTCACATGAAGAGGCTGATCCTGACACCCCTTACCTGCATATTGATGGTGCTGCCAGGCAAGGAGCAAAAGACAGTATAGTGAAAGCTATTTCCTCTGAGGGCCTTCAGCCTCCTAGTGAAAGCCCCCACCGCAAAGAAGAGCCTCTACTTGCCCTTGGAAATGCCGCCTCTGTGAAGCTGTCTGCTGGCTCCCTTGCTTCGCCCTTGCATCCAGGAATTGCTGGTGGGGAAATCCCTGCAGTGCAGCCCAGCAATGAAAGCCCCAAAGCTGGAATCACTGAGGGACCTGTGGCCTCTGTGCCCTACCTGGACAGGATGCCTCTCCTGGCCAACGGTAAGCAGATTACAGGGGAGGATACACTGGCCACAGATCCAGACCCAGGCACCAGACCATGTGAGATTCCTGCTAGTGAGGATGGCATGGTGGCTGATACAGAAAGAGAGACAGCGGGCAGTGGGGAGAGGATGGTAGATCCTTCCCCAGATCCAAAGAGGGATGTATCATGTACTATGGAGACATGCTCCAAGCAGACCAACATGATCACTGGGTTCCCTGACTTCAGGGAGCACATCACCAAGATCTTCGAGCAGTCTGTGTTTGGAGCACTGGCCACTGATCAGCCCCAGAGTGCACCTAGTGAAAAGGCAGGAACTGGGAGAAATGTGGTGGGCAAGCACCCTGCCACACCGCTAAACCCAGAAAAGTATCTAGATGGGACTCAAGGAGTGGCCGTTACCCTTCTGCCTGCTCCTCCTGCTGAACTTTTGGCAGAGAAGAAACAAGAATGGGCTGTTGAAGCTGAGATTTCCCATTTGGTTTCCCAGGATCCAGCTCCAGACAAGCTTCTGGCTCTGGCAGGACCAGCCTTGGAGCAGAATCTGCCAGGTGCCAATGCTGAGCAAGAGACCACTGCTATCCCACTGATAGGGCGAAGTGAGAGGCCAGAGGGGGATAAGGAGGTCTGTGCAGGCCTGGGATCCCAGGCTCACTCACAGCTTGAGACGAGTGAGCAGGAATTAGCTGTAGGACTTCCCTCACCTGTGCTGGCCAATCAGGGGATGCCTACAGAAGGGACCACTGACTCCAAGGTAAGTCCTCAGAGCAGCGGAGAAGAGGCCTTGGGCTTGGCTCAACATGACAGAATTCCTTCTGGAGAACAGCACCAGGGAACACCAACCTGTGACAGCCGACACAGAAAAGATGGTCCCCTTGACTTCGCTCCCACAGGGGGATCAGATGATGAGCTAGGATCAACCCACATCCTTGAAACCTCTTTTCCTAGTGGGGATGTGCTGATTGTGCCTGAAGCTAACAGTGAGCCTGGGACCCCTCAAAACCTTGGGGCTGGGAAAAAGCCTGAGGTTGCTGCCACCATCTTGGAAATGCAAAATGCCCTGGACTACAAGAGCACCCCTAAGCCGCAGGCTGGAGAAATGTCAGACACTCTGCTAGAGCCCAGCAAAGTGACAGGAGCTGCTGGGGAAGCCCAGGGCGACATCACATCACACTCAGCTGAGACATGGGCAAGTGCATCTGGTGACTTGACTGAAACAGGTACTACAAGGATGTTCTCTGGTATGCCTTGTGACTCAGCGTTGCCAGGGAGCTGTCAATACTCTGACAGGGATCAGGTGATGGAGGACACACAGTTGGACAGCACAGTTGGACACCAGGAGGCCACGGAGCAGCCAGGGCCTGAACTCCCTGCTCCTGCTGGGCACATGAAGGTGTGTGACTCTTCAGTGGCTGAAAAAACCAGAGACCCAAAGCTGCAGGACGCGGCTCCAGAAGAGCTCCACGCTGGCAGGTATTAGACTAAACCCCTATGGGCTCAGCTTCAAAGGTGATTCCCAGCCTGATTTTTCTAAGAATCAAAGAGATGATGGGTGGTTTTTAAGAGGCTAAGTTTCCCACATCTGGTGGGTTATATATACCCACTTAACCTCTCTGGATATGCTAAAAGTCTGAAAGAATGGAGACTGTTTTAACATACCTTGTTCTTTTTCTTATATTCTTTAATTCATCCAAGCTTAACCTACTGGAAAAGCTTGAAGTGTTTACTGGCTGGCTGAGCATGATGGAGTGATAGGCTGAAGTCAGTGGAATGTTTTTCTGGAATGCAGATACATTTTTTTCTTTTCTTTCTTTTCTCTCTCTCTCTCTCTCTCTCTCTCTCTCTCTCTCTCTCTGTCTCTCTCTCTCTTTCTTTCTTATTTATTTTTGATACTGGATCTCACTATGTAATACATGCTGGCTTTGAACTCACTATGTAGCCCAGACTGGCTTCAAACTTGTGGTGATCCTTCTGCCTCAGTCTCTTGAGTGCTTAGGATTACAGGCCACCACACCCAGCCAGATACGTTTGATTTTAAATCTGGGTTTGTTTACACAGAGGAACCTAAATGATTCAAAAGTGTCTCCAAGCCATTGTCTGTCTGAAGTTCTACTCTCCACTCCAAGGATTTTGGTGTAGCAGTTACTTAAAACTATCACTGGGAAACGTGCTCTTTTTAATAGGACATGGAGATATGGCCATTTAACAATTCCACATTATGCTATTGACTGCTTTCTTTCCCTGTTCCAGGAGGAGCCCTGGGCCTGTCTCAGCCACCTTGCCTTTGGTCCCTGAGGATGCTCGAAGAGTCCCTTCCGATGAGGCCAAAAATGCAAGAAGGCTAGAAAGGTCAGTGAACTTCACCACCCTTGGGAGACTGGGGTACTCTTCTTAGACACAGACATGCAATGTTTTACAAAGAAGAGTAGTCTTGGGGCTGGGGATTTAGCTCAGCGGCATAAGCGCCTGCCTTGAAGCAGGCAGTCGTGAGTTCGATCCCTGGTACCGATAAAAACGAAAGAGACAAAAAAAAAAAAAAGAAGAAGAAGAGTAGTCTTTAACCTGACTTCTTAAATAGGAAAGAGGAAATAGCCATTTCCCATCCTATACACAGGCAAAGCAGGACCTGACATGACTCAATGTGTCACTGTAAAAAAGGACTGAGTTGCTTTTGTACCTAACTTTATTATCTTTAAAAAAACAAAACACCTTTATTGAGATGCAATTCACACAGCATATAATTTACTCACTTAAAGTGTATGTATAGGCTGGAGATGTGGCTCAGTGGCAGAGCTCTTGCCTTGCATGCACAAGGCTCTGGATTCAAATCCCAATCCCACAGACACACACCAAAAAGAAATGTCTAATTCAGTGACCTTTAGTGTACTTAGAATTATGCAACTTTGGCTACAATCAATTTCAGAATATTTCCATCCTTCCAAAAGACAGCTTGCAGTCTTAGACAGCACGTTTTGCCCCTGCTCCATACCCTCAGTCCCCGGCACTCACTAATCTAGCTGGTTGCCTGTGGAGGCAAATGGGACTTAATCTCTGAAGCAGAAATGGCTCATCACCACCAGCAGCTGCATGCCACAGAGATCGGAAGATTAGGAGCATGGAGGACAGATGTAACTGTCACACCCAGACCTTCAGGAGACCACTTGCAGCGGGGAGGGGCTTTCCTAAGTGAAACACCACCTGTGGTCCCTCTGAAGCTGCTGCTTAAGTTTCATCTTCCTGTGAATTTAGCAGACATCCACACTGTGAATAAGTTTGCAGTATCCCTGGACTTCCAGCTCTCTATCTCCTCTTTCTTTCTCTCTCTCTGTTTCTCTATCTCTTTCTGACTCTAAATTAGTACCTGTGTCTCCTGCTAACTAACAGCTGCAGGCGTTTTACAAATGATTTGATTTCCATTTTGCACATGCTGGAAGAATGCATGGTCACCTGTTTTTCGAGTCTGAACACTTCCTCTGACTCCCAGCTGCCTTTGCTGCCCCACAATTGTGACTCTCGTGATTCTGGGCCAGCACGGATGCAGCCTTGCCGCCCAGACAGATGCAAACTAATCTGCATTTGACACCCCTTTCTGCCACTGCCTTAGTGAACTATTTCCTGCAGCCCTTGCTGGTATGTACTTTTTACATTCCCAGTTATAGCATAGGAAAAATATCTGCCTACCTAGGGAAACTCCGCCGTTCCACAAATGACTACATCAGCTTATTTTCCAGCCTGAGTGGGTGTTTTAGCACCTTCTTGGGTCACACATAGAGTAGCCCCATAAACACGTTGAAGCTCAGTGTATTAATCATTTAAAATGTTAAAATAATTTCCCAAATTGCATTAGAAATGATCACTTTTCTAGCATGTGTGTAAAGGACAGAAGAGTATGAAAAGGACAAAAATCCACAATCATACCACCTAACAATTACTGCTACTTAGTATCTTAGTGTCGTTTTACCCACTGGTTTTTTTTCTCTTGAAATATTCAGCCATTTTTTCCCCTGCCACCAAACTCTTTACAGAGTAAGTATAGTGGGTCATGCTATGGCCAGCATTGTGTAACTGGTTGTGGATTTGTAAGTTTGGATAGTATTTGTGTTCATTTCACTCCTATAGAGACTTCTTAAAAATCAATTTTTATGTTCATTAGTGCATATTTACAATATATAATGGTTACATTCATCGTGGGAAGCTGCTATCTGTACAAAACACATCTTAATTTGCAAAGTTTTACATGTTCTGGAACCGCATGGTCCAGTACAGCTGTGGCTGGCCACACGTGGATGGAGATATGTATGGGGTGAGTGTAAGATACAGATGAGATGTTAAAGAATTAGAAGGAAATAAGGCATGGGAAACACATCATTCATCATTTTATACTGATTATATGTGAAATAGTCACATTTTGTATATACTGGGTTAAAGGCATTTATTGAAATTAGTTTCATTTATGTCTTTTTTGAATTTTTAATGCAGCCCCCAAATGTTTAAAATTACACATTGGCCTTGGCATCCACAACGTGCATTCTATAGAGATCATTTGGTGGCAGCAGTTGCTTTTCTGTGTGAGTGGTTCTTGGGGACAAGGCCTTTGGCTCTCTCTGCTCCATGGCTGAGGCCCCCAGGAAAATCTCCGACTAGCCTCTGCCCAACAGCCTGCCAGGTTGTTGGCACACCTTCGGCCCCTCTTCCTTGAGCATTACAATAGGGGTAGCACCTGGGCAAATAGGCCAAAAATTCCATCTGTGTTTAGGGGCAATCAAAGTTCTCCGGAAGGGTGCAGACCAGCTCTGCACAATAGGAATTTGACGGAAGCTACAGAGGTAATCTTAAATTTTCTAAGCCAAATTAAAAACCTAAACAGAAATAGGTAAAATTAACGATATACTTTATTGGACATGATATACCAAAATATTACCATTTCAACACGAACTTGATATAAAATTACTAAGGTGATACGCTGCAATCTTATTTTCTCATAGTCTTTAAAATCTGATATGCATGTTATATTTGAAGTACATCTCAATTTGCACCAGCCATGTTTTGGGCACTTAGTAGACAAATGTGGCAAGTAGCTACCCTCTTGGACACCCCAAGATTGGACCACTGATCCAGAAGGCCACACCTTTCCCAGGTGACCCCAAAGTCCCCATATCTCCAGCAAGCTTGTTCCTCAATTTAACACAGTTGGTGGAACGCGTCTTTATTTGGAGAGGGACTCAGCACTGTACTTCTTTGTGGTGAACACACTAACCACAAGGGAGCCACGCAAGTGGACTGAACAGGTCTCAGAGAAAATTCATACTGTGGTCACAGGGTGCATGCACTGGGATCAGGTGTTGCACATGAACACCAAATTCAGCAGCTTCCTGGAGGAGGTTGGGTGTCAAAGGACATGGCCAGCAGCTGGACTGATAAAATTCAAGGCCAGAGCTTTGAATTTTGCTCCTTAGTGGTTATATATGTAACCTCAGTTTTCTTATCTGTAGAATGGAAAGGACAACAAGTTTCCTTGCCTTGTTAAACTGCAACAAGGGCTAACTGAGATCACCGATTTCCACATTCTGGTGCTTAGTAGGTATTAGGTTTCTAGACATTTTGCAGTGGGTTTTCCTTGTAAGTAAACTCCACGATTGTATCTGTCTTCAGTATGGAGTCTGTTTCTGGGATCTCGTCTGTGTGCCTGACACTGAGACACCAACCTGTCTATTTGCCTTTTCTAACATGGAATTCTTTGCCTACTAAAATATTTGAACGATCGAGGAGAGAGAATACTTTCCTCCCTGCTGCTGCTGGGCAACCCACAGTGAGCTGCTGCAAATTAAACATTCTGGAGATAGTATTTTACTATGATATGTGGTGCCTCTTTCTTTGTGTATCCCACTGTATTGTATTTCACCATCAACAATGTTGTAAATTGCCAGGAGAGAAGTACCTCAATCCAAAGTTTTCATTCCTTTGTGGATTAGGAGGTGATTGCTTCTATGGAATCTACTGAACTCTGAATGCCTGTTGACTTGAGTGGAACTGATAGTACACATGAGGTGCAGTATCTGAGAAATGTCTCTTTTGCTATATTGGGCAGGATAGTTTGATAACGCAGTCTCATACAAAGCAGTGTGAAGATACTTTGTTCCCAAATTAGGAAGCTCATTACGCCCTGCTGGTACATGGGTAGCCTATGGTTTTGTGTCCCTCCAGCCACCGTCTCACATCCTGAGGAGCAAGCGCAGACTGACAGTCTGTGAGGTATTTGGTTACCGTATGTACTTTTCCCCGGGAAGGACTTGGGGGGAAGCATGGCCTCACTGTGCCGTGAAGGAGTTTGAGTTGATCTTCACCTTTGTAGGCTATCTTCCTTGTTGGTGGAAAGTCTGGGATTTGCATTTTGATAATACATCACTAAAGGCAGCTCTGATAAGTGACACGTGTCATTCTGAGTCAATCTTGGATGATACTTTGCTTGTTTTCGCCGAGCATTGCTTTACTACCAAAAGTTGTCTAAGTGATGTTAACTCAAAGCCTATGTGCTTGTATGTACCTTTTTTTTCCCCTTTCTTTTTTGTCTTTTTGAAATATGTTTTCACTATGCAGTTCAAGCTGGGCTTGAACTCACTTTATAACCCAAACTGACCTTGAACTTGTGTGATCCTCCTGCCTCAGCCTCCCAAATACTAGGATTATGCTGAACGTTAATTTACAGGGTCCCCGCCCCCTGCAATTGGCATAATGGTTGTAAAAGAATCACATTCCATAGTGCATTTTAGGAGGATTAAATTGTTCTCAGATGCTTAGGGTCTTTGCGTAGACCCAGGCTAAATCATAAAGGGCATTTGGATTGAAAAGTTGAGAGAACAGAGAGGGACAGTTGGCCTCTTGCCGAGGAAGCCCTGGCCACCCTGAAAGCCACATGGGAAAGGCTTCCCCTTCTCCCTCCCACCCCATCTTCCCACTCAGTCTCTGGTTTTTCCTTCTCTCGTCATTTCCTTCTAAAATTTACCAAGATGACATCGTGTTTTCAAGTTTAAGAATAAGGTTAGAGGATGACTACAACTGTATAAATTAAGAAAAAGAAAAAAAAATCTTCCAACACAGTTTTCTTAGCAGGTGAAACCTTAGCAACAGCTCCCTCCCAAGAGCCTCCTGGGTTTGCCTCGTAGCACGGGTTTTCACTGTGTGTGAGGCTGTTGGGGAAGACAGAGCCTTTCACAGCTCTTCAGTATCTTACTGACTGGCTACCCTGGATAAGCTGCCTAACTGCCCCAGCTTCAGCTTTCATATCCACAAGAGAGGAAAATCACTGGTAGGGTTGGGGTTACATTTGGGATGTTTCCAGAGCTTCCAAT